TCACAGGGTGGGGCGGGTGGTGTCCGGGGAAGTGGCCCGTGTTCTCTTGTCTCTGGTTAGACCCCGGGGGTGCAGAGCCAGGTCCCTCGCCGCTGCTCGCTGTTGGGTTTGTTCTTCTGATGTAACTGGGACGTGGGCGCCGGTTCTCCAAGCCCGGGCCTTGCTGTGCACGCCCGCCCTCCCGCCCTCCCTCCGTGGGCGGCAGGGCCTCTAAACTGCAGTTGATTTTCCCATTGAAGACTCCAAGCGCGAACGTGGTGGTTCCCCTGCGGAGCCTTGGCGGGTGCACCCTTCGGGGACGCCACGGGCACGCGACGCGGGGAGCACAGACCCGCGGTGTCCTCTTTGCAGGAAGACGGAGGAAAGTGCTGGGAAGGAAGAAAACCCAGCCCAGACCGGCCGTGAGGAGCAGGAGCTCGGGAACAAGGTCCAAGAGACGCCAGGGCCGCGGGAAGAAGAGGAAAGGACAAAAGCTGAAGGTAGGCCTGCCAGGTCCTCTGCGAGGGCGTGGTGTCCTGGAACGGCCTCCTGCTGGGAGCCATGCCGGCGGCACAGAGTGCAGACGGGCGGGCGTCCTGCGGGTGGGCCAGGACACAGGCAGAGCTGCTGGCTCGTCAGGAGGCTCCCTGGCGATCCCTGGTTTTAGGGGCCGCTGGGGTGGCTTCGAGGGCAGTGCCCACAGGGGTCCAGCGGGCAGGCTGTCTTGTCCTGGCGGAGCCCCAGGTCCACCCTCATTGGCCTGGGACCTGCAGAGGCCTGGTGGTGGGCGTAGGGATGGTGTGGGGCCGACCGCTCTGGTCTGGCGTGGGCTCAGCCGCTGCTGGTGTGGCCAGCTCGCACCCAGATCCACGTGTCTCATGGCGGTTCTTTCCCTTCAAGGCTGCTCAGAGTGAAGTCACAGCTCGTGGGCGCATCGCGCGGACACTGGGCCTCCGGAGGCCGACCCACGGGGCCTGCATCCCATCCGTGTTCCGGCCCGCGGACCCCTCCCTGGGGCTGATGCGTGCGGACATCGGGGCTGCCTCTCTCTCTGTCTTCGGAGACCCCTATGAGCTGGACCCTTTCGACAGGTGACTGCAGGGGGGCAGTGCCGCAGGCACCTCTGCAGAGTTGGGGAGCAAGCTGTCACCTCCCTTCTTCCAAGCGTTGTGACGGTGGGCACGCCACCCTGTGGGCCAGGGTGAGCCTCCGGTTGCCGCTAGGAAAGCGAGGGAGCTGCCTCCTGCCTCAGGCATTGCATGCTCGTCCCGGGCCGAGGAAAGTGCCGTGTGGGCAGCACCAGGCCGTCCTGCTGGGCACTGGGGCAGGGGCTGGAGGGGCCCGTGGGCCTCGGGCATGGGTCACCGTTTCCTCGGTTGGTGTCCTTCCTCCAGCAGCGAAGAGCCGTCTGCCAGCCCTGCTTCCCCTCTGAGTGCCAAGAGGAGGGTCCTCTCCCGCTCGGCCCTGCGATCTCACCAGCCCGTGGCCAGGCCCGTCTCCATGGGGCTCTCCAGGTGGGTCTGAGGGCAAAGGGCAGCGGTTCCGGCGTGGCAGCCATGCTGGCCGGTCTCTAGCCCCCAGACTCCCCTTGGCTTCTTGATGGGGAACGGGGGCACGAGGCCACGGGCAGGCCCATCAGCAGGGGTGCTGGGTGCTGGATAGGGAGCCATCAGCGGGGGTGCTGGGTGCTGGGTGGGGAGACGTCAGCGGGGGTGCTGGGTGCTGGATGGGGATCCGTCAGCGGGGGTGCTGGGTGCTGGGTGGGGAGACGTCAGCGGGGGTGCTGGGTGCTGGATGGGGATCCGTCAGCGGGGGTGGTGGGGGCCAGGCTGCTGGGCTGCGCCTTGGGCTGGGCCTTTTCTCATTGGAGCTTTTGGGGGAAAAGAAGAAACTGAACCCCCATGACGGCAGAGCTGCTCCGCTGTGCTCTGGCCTGTGGTGCACCCACTGATTTCATCCCGACCCCGTTTTCAGGGGAGCTGCCGGGTGGGTCTCACTCCTGTGGGGGTCCTGGTGGACGGCCTCCTCTCAGCCCCCTTCCCAGGGCCTGGGGGCGGGGCAAGAGCCTGAGGGCAGCGGTGGCAGGGCCTGGTCTGCACCTGCAGGAGGAGCATTCCTGCCGCGGCGCCTGAGCCGGATGTGGACGTGGCCCCTGTCCCCGACCTGCTGGGCAGCATCCTGTCGGGCCAGAGCCTCCTCATGATGGACAGCTCCGACATCACCATCCACCGCGACGGCTCGCTCAGCGCCAAGCGGGCAGGTAAGCTGCCTCCGAGCGGAAGTGGAGACACGCTTGGCTTGGGTGGGTTGGGTGCGCGTGGAGGGCGGGGTGCGTTTTCCACGCACAGAAGACGTAAAGGAGGGGCAGCGTCCTCCTGTTTTTCCCTCATGTTCTGAACAGTGTTGACGAGCAGATCACTTGGGTGGTGATGGAGCCGCAGGCCCAAGGCCGCCCCGTGGCCTGTGTCCTCACGGCCCTGGAGCCCGCCACGTGGAGCCCTCCGCTGATTTGGGTCTGGCCCAGTGATGGCGAACCTTCTGAGCTCGGCGTGTCAGCATTTTGAAAAACCCCAACTTAACTCTGGTGCCGTGTCACATATAGAAATTTTTTGATATTTGCAACCATAGTAAAACAAAGACTTATATTTTTGATATTTATTTTATATATTTAAATGCCATTTAACAAAGAAAAATCAACCAAAAAAATGAGTTTGCGTGTCACCTCTGACACGCGTGTCATAGGTTCGCCATCACTGGCCTAGCAGGTCTTGGGGGTGGGGTCCAGTGTGGGGACTGGGCAGCCAGTGATGGCAGCGCTGCGGAGGCGGCAGCCCTCCCCTCCTACCTCCTGCCAAAGGTCTGTCACTGGCTTCAGCACGTCCTGAACCCAAATATCACAAGGGGAGGCAGAAGGGAAGCCCCACAGCAAAGCCTCCAGCTGCCCAGGGCGCCCCGGCGGTCCCAACGCCCCCCACAGGGCCGTGCCCCCACCAGCAACAAGTAGCAGGAACTTGAAATGCACAGCTAGACGGCCGTGTGCTGAAGGCTGAGCACGTCACGGAGCCTGGACAGGAGGAGGGCGCCTGATGGCTGTCTGCCTTTTTGTCTTTTAGCACCTGTTTCTTTTCAGCGACGCTCAGTCGGTCTGTCCCGAGGGGGAGACGGCCCGCAGCCCCCAGCACCAAGCGCAGGGCTCCCGGGAAGCCTGGGGTCGCGCAGTCAAGGCAGGTCCACCCCCTCCCACGTCCCTGCGCTCACGTCGGGGGCTGCCGCGAGACCGGACTCCTCAGCGACCCCTCGGCCAGGCCAGGCCCAGAGCCCGTCGAATGTGAACAGTCCCGGCTTCAAACGACGGGAGGACCCACAAGTTAGAGGCGTCAGTGAGCACGCTGGGCCTCTCGGATTCACATCTAAGATCTCAAAC